AAAAAATTTAAAAGGAGGGATGAAATACAAATAAACAGAAACTCTAATGTACTTTACTGGATGGTCTGTGCACCACTCCAGAAAGGCACATCTCTCTTTAGAGTCCAGCGGCACTCAGGTACCTTGTCACTAACACCTGGATAGGACGACAGTGAATTCAAGTGGGCGTCCTGATACATAGCCCTGTGAGCCCCGTGGTTCACATCTACTCCCATCTTCAGATGCAGAGTCATCCTTAAGTGATGTAGTGAACTGTCGGAAGTACCTTGAGGAAGTATGACTCATACCAGCTTTTATTCTGAAAGCCTCACTGTTTCCAAAATACCAAACAAACATGTTTTTGAATCAGAACTTAAATTCTCAGGGGAATAAATAAAGTAAGAATAATGAAGATGGGATTTTAGGCCTTGGCACAAATGGGTGTAACAGCTGTTTTCTTTTCTGTTTTTTCAATATTTATCAAACATTGATGTTTAAAATGACCAGTTATTTTAGAAAATATACATGAATAACTTGTTTGTAAAAATGACACATTCATTATAAATACCCTCTGCCTATCATCCTCAATTCTTTCTCAGAAATAACCGCCATTATTTCCATTTGGATCTTTTCCTGTGTAATACATTTGTAGGTACATTTTACCTGTTGCAAATATAAATATCGTTTTGATGGCTTTTAAAAATATAATCAGTATCAAATTACATGCATTATTCAGTGACTTATTTCTTCATGAGTTTTGCGGTTCTTTTTCTATTTGCCCTATCACAAGCAAGGATGTACTGCATACCCTTGTACAGGTCTCTTTCTGTATGTATCTTTCTCCACAAAACAGTCAAAAGATAATTTTGCAGCACCATTTATAGAAATGCCTATAAATGCCTCATTGACATTGTGCCTCATTGAAGTGCCTCATTGACTTGAGACACTAAATTCCCATCTGGGTCTAGGGCAGGACTTTTCTGATCCATTGACCTCCTCTGAGTTCAAACCCATTTTAATTATCACAGCTTTATAATGTATCATTTTGGTAACTGGTAGAGTAATTTGTTCTCTCTCAACTGTCTTGGCATATTCTTCCATATCAATTTTATAAATAGCTTGTCAAGTTCCATTAACAATATTGAGATTTTGATTAACATTAGATTGCCTTTGTGGATTAATCCGGGATGTATTAATAGCCTTACAATATGGAGCCTTTTATTCCCCGAACATGACATTGCGTTCCATTTGTTTAAGATTGACTTTAGTAAGGGTCTTATTTAATTCTTGTTCAAGTTACCCCTAGGTCCGTTTTTTGTTGTTGCTACTGGGAATGGGATCATTTTCTTCTGAGACTTTTTTGTTGGACCTAAAGGAAAACGACTGATTTTGAGATGTTGATCTTGTTTCTGGCCACCTTTTAAAAGTTTCATTGGTCCTAATACTTTGTTCTCCTCCTTGACCACAGCGGCTGCTGCTTTAGTCACGGTCGCCTGTGCTGCTGTGGCCATCTTTATTGGCCCCATTACCTCTGCCATTTTTTTTTTTTTTTGGCTGTTACTGCTGCCATCCCCACCACTGAAACACCAAAAATAACACTTCCTTTCTTCACCCAATCCAATACTTCAGATTATTTGGAGGCTAGGCTTCAAAAGTGAAGCTTCAAAAAAAAAAAAAGAAAAGCCAGATGTGGTGTCTCCTGTCTGTAATCCTAGCACACTGGGAGGCTGAGGCAGGTTTGAGACCCCATCTCTTAAAAATTACTCGGGCATCTGGCAGATGCCTGTAATCCCAGTTACTTGGGAGAACCGCTTGAGCCCCAGAGTTTGAGGTTGCTATGAGAAATGAATTGCCACAGAACTCTACCGAGGGTGACAAAGTGAGATTCTGTCTCAGAAAAAAAAAAAAAAAAGTTTTAATTTTAATAAAATTTCAATTATTTAAGAATATTTTAGATGCCAGCTCAGAAATATTACATATTCCACTCTAAGAGTTCATGAAATTTTATCAGAACTCTTCACTTGCACCATCAAAATCAGTGACATCTCGTGTCACTTTTTGCAGCGTTACAGGTCACCTTCACTTCTAAGTGGTTTAAGGTATGTGGTCCCTTATTTGAATCTATGAATGATGCAGTCGCGTGGAAATTTTATTCTCCAAGATAAATACCCTTTCTAATAACATTAAGGTATTTTTCTTCTTCACACAGTGTATTTAAGACCTCCATGGCATACCTACTCAATCCATCTTAATGTGAAATTTATTGACATATAACACATATTTGTAAGTGTATGGCCTGAGGAATTTTCAAAGTGAATCCCCAGTATCATAAGGGCCCTCTCATGCTACCCTTTCCATCACCTCTCACTCTAGTCCTCCCTCCCCTTCCATTCTAACTTCTAATACCGTGGATGAGTTTTGCCTGCTCTGGAACCTTATATGAAATGGTACCACGTGATTTACATAGCACATCACTTTCTGTCTGGATTCTTTCATCCCACATTAGGATGGAGACCCCTTTCCCATTGCTATGTCTAGTTGCAGTGTATTTATTTTCACTTTTTGACACTCAAGTCTTATTTCCAGATTTTGGCTATTTTGAACAGTGCTGCGGTAAACATTCTCATACGGCCTTTACATACACATTTCTGTTGGGTATTCCTCAGAGTGGAATCGGTAGGTGGGAACATGCGGATGTTCAATCCAGCAGCCCCTGCCAGTTGACACATCTTTCAGCAGCCTGACAGTTCAGGTTGCCACACAGCCTTGCGATTTTCTCCTGCCCTAACTTTAGCCATTCGTGTGGGTGTGTGGTTTCTTTTCATTGTGGTTTTTACTTCCATTTCTCCGGTGTTAACAAAGTTAAGCGCATTTTCATGTTTATTAGCCTTATTTGTCCTATTTTGTTAAGTACCTACTCAAATTTTTTGCCGACTTTTCTGTTAGTTTATCTGTTTTTGTTAAGACTTCCTGGGAGTCTTCATATATTTTGCATACAATTTATACCATCAGTTGTATGTATTATAAGCATCTCCGCCAATTTTGTGCTTTGCCATTTTACTCTTATGGTGGCTTTACTGTATTATCCTGTTTCTTAAAGAGAACTTCAAGAGGGTTTTACATCTACCTCATCCCAGGAAAGTCAAGATTGGTCTACCTTCTTAAACAACACTGAAAAGTAGCCTGGGGAGGTCATTTTTAGGTTATTTGCTGTTTACTATAAAGTCACTGAGATGAATTCTTATGAGAGACTCTGATAATTTTTTCTAGATGGGGAAGCCCATGTTACATTTAGGCATTGGTAAGATTGTCCCTCTCCAGACTGTGTTTGCAACACATAAGAACAAACTCAAATATGCTGGCTTCCTTTATAGCCTCAAGGGTCATTTCTGTGTTGTAAATAAAGGTCTTCATTACAGTCAACATTAACTGCACATCAGCAATTACTTCTTGAATATTTAAATGTTTGCATTTACCCAGCAAAAAAGGAATTATTTTCTTATAACAATGTGCAAATTTAGGTTTATACTCCCAGTTATTTAAACACTAGGCTAGGTATTGCTATGAAGGAGTTTAGCAGATATAATTAAAGTCCCTAAACTGACTCTGAATAAGGGAGAATCTGGCGGGTCTCAGTTAATCAGCTAGAAAGTCTTATTAAAAGCAAGGCTGAGGCCCTCCCAAGAGAGAAGAAATTGCTCTTGTGGACAAGTTTAAGCTCACCCTGAGTTCCATCCTGCTGTGATCTTTCCTTCCTGTGGCCATAAGGATTTTAGATTTAATTAGCCAGCCCTGACAATCACGTAAGTCAAATGCTTAGAACACTTCTCTTGAAGGTGTGTATCTCCTACTAGTTTTGCTTCTCTCATTCAATTCTCAACTAATAATGATCTTAGGATAATATGATCATTTTCTTCACAATTTAAGAAGTAACAGGCAAAAACTCCATGAATTACATCATCTTTGAAGAACACAGAATACAAAGCCTGTCTAGGTTAGAACCATTTGTATGAGCTCACGCTGGGCTTCAATCTTGACTACTGGTATTTAAACAGTACCAATTTTATAACTTTAAGAACCTGATGGCACTTTCTTCAATTACCATTTAATATGTAATCTTATTGGATGTTCAAAATGTATAGATTTTGTGCTCTTTCACAGGAAAATACATACTTTTAAAGTAGGCAGGATTTATCTGTCATATTTCAAATAAGTGGCTAGTGTGCTGGCCACATACACCGGGACTGGCGGGTTTGAACCCAGCCCAGGTTTTCCGAACAATGACAGCTACAACAAAAAAGCTGAGTGTTGTGGCGGGCACCTGTAGTCCCCCCAGCTACTTGGGAGGCTGAGGCAAGAGAATTGCTAAAGCCCAAGAGTTTGAGGTTGCTGTGAGCTGTGATGCCATAGCACTCTGCCCTGCCCCACCAAAAAAGTTTATTAAGTTCTAGAAAGAACACAATTTGTTATGTACAGAGACTAAACTTTAATTGGTAAACTCAACAAATTAAATTTCTGCATGTGATTAAGGGAAAATATGTTTAATATATGAAACTTAAAAAGTTTCCTTATCTGGCTATTTCAGATTGAATCTTATTACTGTATTTAATTCTTGGCATCCTAAGACACTCAAAAACCACTGTTCACAAATGTATCTGGTGCAGTAGGCAAGAAGAGAATTTAGAAAAGCTGTTTTCTGATGTCCCACAGCCTTGTAATGCTGGGGAATACCTTCGCCTTTCTGAGCCTATCCCTTTATTCTACAACTGATACTTATTAAATACTTATCAAAAATCAAGTACTTGTTAGACATTCATGAAATTGACAGTCCATAATTTCAGAGGCTTAACGTCTGGAAAGGTTTAGAGTTTGGGCTAAATTACCTTCAAATCCTGAGCATGTATGATTTAAACAGGATTACATTCTTATTCTGAGAGCTGGGATTAATACGAGGATTTCCAAATGATATTAGAAAAGCTATAAAGTAGTAAAGATTTCCTACATGAACACTGGCAAAATAATTTTCTCAATCAGAAGTTTTATATCTTTATTCAGAACGTGATTAAACCACAGAATAAAGTTCTTCTAGCATTATAAAATCCAACGTTTTGAAATCCTTTTGTAGTTGGCAATACTGTTTTTACATCTTTGATAACCCTGAAGTTTTTCATGCATTCAGGTATTTTGCATGATGTCTGATGTGATCAGCGATAAAGGTTGCAATGAAGTAGTAGCTGTGATCATAACCCTAGAAATCAAAATACAGAGATATTAAGATATTTATCTACCATTCATAAACATCAATATTAGAGACATTCAATATCTCCCAGGTCACTTAATTTGCCTGTAGTCAAAATATCACACTATGAGGAAGGTTTATAATCAAAATCAAGGTCATACTTGTACTTCGATATTTTCAATGTTTAAAAGAGCAGCAAAAATATGAAGGAAAATTAAACATTCTTCATCGTCTAGTTTCTAAATACTGCCATTAATAGGTAAAGGAGAAAGTAACACAAATCACGTTAAGAATTTCACCCCAGGCTTGGCGCCTGTGGCTCAAGCAGCTAAGGCGCCAGCCACATACACCTAAGATGGCTGGTTCGAATCCAGCCTGGGCCCGCCAAACAACAATAATGGCTGCAACCAAAAAAATAGCCAGGCGTTGTGGCGGGTGCCTGTGGTCCCAGCTACTTGGGAGGCTGAGGCAGGAGACTTGCTTGAGCCCTGGAGTTGGAGGTTGCTATGAACAGTGAAGCCATGGCACTCTACCCAGGGGGACAGCTTGAGGCTCTGTCTCAAAAAAAAAAAAAAAAGAATTTCACCCCAAAACATACCTTTGAGGAGAAAGGAATTAATTCATTAAACCCTGACATCCCTTGGCAATACATCAAGTCGGATAAAAAAAATCAGTAAACTTACTGAAAACTATCATGAAGCAGAAAATGTAACGTGCCAAGCAGTTGACTTCGAAAGAGGTCTTAACCTATCCAATCAATTAAGATCACTAGATAATTTATCCCTAACTACAATTAAAAGGTGGAATAAAATGAAATAAAGGTCTAAGAAAGATTTTAAGTTCTTAACTAGTGAACGGTCTCTTATAGGAGAAAATGGGAATTTTTCTAAGTATGTAAGAAATAAAAATAGATGCAATAAAAATATCACTGGGGCAAGACAAATCCCCAAAGTTTTGATGAATCAGTGAATGTTCTCACTCTCTTACTTCTAGAGAAGTATGAAATATTTATCTTGGGAACAGCTGTCAATAAAACTTCTCATTTGGAGTCATCAGAGCAACTTCTGTCTTCTTCTAAGGCAATCTGTCTTCTCTCACAGAAGTGGGTATGACAGGAAATGTTGTCAAGATTGAGGCTGAGTCTTGGAATCACTTGGCTTCACATCTCCTAATGATTATAGTAGTCCCAGCCAGTTTGTTAAATCTGGAGCTAAAGGACAGTTCCTTACATAAGGAAGGAAGCTTAAAGAAAAACATTTGCCACTCATATAATTCTTGATTGTTAAGAAGTTAAACAGGCCTGTGATCCTCAGTTTTAGGCACATAATGAATAGCCACCCTTATTATTGTTGTTATTGTTAGAGAAGTCCCAGGGTAAACCCAAATGATAATTTTTAGCTCTCAGAAATATTCTGCAAGATAACAATGCATTCATCTGAAATCCAAAGCAAATATCCAAAACTTCCATAATGATATTTAAAGTGAGATCCACCATTATGAGACAGTAGAAAATGCCTGCCACGAGGGAGCAAGGGGGATTTTTAAAAATACCAACATAAAGGCAACAGCATCTATCTGAACTAGTGGCATTCTCAGGAAGCCATACAATTGGAATTAAGTGTGTTAGCTTTGACTAGTTTCAAGTTTTGTTTACCAATCTTATTAAATAGGGGTGGATTCTTTCATTAAATTCTTTGGACAAATGAGTTGGTTTGGTATGCTAAACAGCTGTGGAACTGCCCATATTTAGTGACCCTTGAAGGGGCCTTACTTTCCTTCTCTACCTCACACTTTAAATGGAAAAATCCTTGGTAGCAAAACTCTTGACTGCTGGAGGATAAAAATAAATGAAAGCATTCTTTCTTTCACTCTTCACTCAACTCTCAAAAAGGAAGCAGTGCTCCAGCAGGTACAGTGACATTTATTCCAAAATGCAGTGTGTTCCTACATATGTTCCATACTCACAGAAAAGCTCAGGTATGAATCCCCAGGTTATTAGGTCTCTTCAGAGTACAAAGAAGATTGCTGAAAGGTATTAATTTATTTAACAAACACTGAGAGTCTCTGTGCTCAGCATGGAGTACAGAGGGAAGTGAGATCCCTGCATTTCTGTGACTCCCTGTCTTACTCTTCTCTGAAGAGGCAGATGCAGAGGCCAAACAGCCTCCCAATCTTCGAGGCTTACGGAGGTAGTTCAGCCTCTCCTCTCAGTGAGTACTGTTTCTGGAAGCTTTCTCAGTATTAGGTCACTGAATTCTTTTCTGTTTTGTATGCTCAATAACTAAAGATAAGACATTCTGGGTCCTTCCTTTTCAGACTAGAACCTGATCTTTCTGTACTAGCTAACAGAATTCTACTACCTAGTGCTTTATTCCCCATACACTAACCTCTCCTTAGAAAAACCTGACAGCTGACAAAGTACACATGCTGAGCAGTTAACACCATTAAAAAGAGGTACAGGAATGAAGCTCGATAAGCCACACACATGATTGTAATAATTTTCTTTCTTCCATCTTAGATTACTTTTCAAATATTTATACTCTCCATTATTTTCAGCTTATTTTATTTATAGCTCCTATTTTACAAAGTAAAATTATACTGTACTTATAATCAAACCAAAAAAGCAGGTGATGAAACTCTCGGGCCCGAGGTAATCTGGTGACCTGAGTTTAATGGAAATTGGTTAGAAAATCTGAGAGTAGACACTGCAGCCCTACCCAGGCAAGTTCATTCAGTTAGTGATTCAGTTACAACAAATCTAAACACAATCTGTTGCAGACAGATTGTGCACCTGCTGGAAGTAAAGTGAATGAAAAATTATACCTGAGCTGCAGATTATGACTCTGGTGATCAGAGTATTTTCTTACTCTGTTTGGGAGAATTAAATGCTTCATCTTGACATTAAGTACGGCCAAAGGTATTTTTTAGTTGCTTGGGATGCAGGCATTTTGAAATAAAGAAATTGACTTATTCTCCCCCCCCCCCCCCAAAGAATACCATCCATGTTCTAACTCTATGCTGTTTTTACAACAAACTCAAGAGATTTTCAGACTTTCCTGGCAGGCAGTAACTTTGTAGAAACAACAGAATTTCCTGGCACAGCCTTACGGGAAGCTGATGAAGCATCCAACATGGCCAGTGCCAAGAAGTTAAGGTCATTTGGAAAAAAACCATGGCTTGGTACGTCACTTATAGCTATAGTTAACATAGTTAAATGCACTACTCTATTTATAATCAAATTGGCATTTGGATTTCTCAAGGCTGGTTGTCGATCTAAAACGGTAATTGTGATGGGAAATATTTAAATAAATCTAAAAAAAATTCTATCACTTAGGGCTGGATACTAAGAGACAACAAGGTATATATGATGTGTTGGGTTTTGACATATTTTCCCACAGGATATATGTATCATTCACATGTTTAAAATACCCTTGTGAACAGGAAGATAGTGAGATCTGCTGCAGTAAGTTAGGTAGCAGGCTGTGCACGATTTCTCCTTGTGCTTGCTCTCATTCCACCTCTTTGCTCCTCCACACTGCCTGGGAACGGCTAGCCAGATGGCAAAGGATAGCATCTGCAGTCAAATGACCCTACTTCCAGTCTTGTTCCACCACTTACTAGCTGCGTGACCTTAGGTAAGTAGGTTACCTCTATGGTCCTGTCTCCTCATCTGTGAAACAGATGGACAGGAAAGAAATGCTTTCTTCTTTGGTGGTGTAAGAATTAAGAATGAGTTAATGTAGGAAAACATTTTGTAACTGTACGTACCACATCACACATTGAGCTAGACCTGAACATTCAGCATCATAATTATACTTTAGGTTAACATGCCTAACGCATTATCCTCAGACATGAATAAAAATTATTTAAAATAATGATTATATGTAATTCTCAGTTCTCATATTTCACCCTGAACAGAAGATTTTGTTTATGTTTTGAAGTTTATGAATAGTTTTTGGTTGTTCTTTCTTATTTTTTGGAGACAGTCTATTTCACCCTCGGTAGCACGCCAGGATGTCACAGCCCACAGCAACCTCAGACTCTGGGGCTTAAGTGATTCTCTTGACTCAGCCTCTCAGGTAGCTGGGACTACAGGCGCCTGCCACAACGCGCAGCTACTTTTTGTTGCAGTTGTCATCATTGTTTAGCTGGCCTGGGCTGGGTTGGAACCCGCCAGCCTCGGTGTATATGGCTGGTGCTGTAACCACTGTGTTATGGGCGCCCAGCCAATGAATAGTTTTTTAAAAAATAAAATAATTTCTTTAATTATAATTGTAATAACATAAGTAGAATTAGGTGAGTAGTGGCTAGTCAGAAGTACTTCAGTCATGGAAAATTTGCAAGCTAACTGAAATTCAGTAATTATTCTTAAACAACTTCAACTATCAAGTGGCATAATGGATAGGTCAGCATATAAATAAATTAATATAAAGTACATTTGTGTGACAAGACTGAGCTTGAGGCTAAAATGTATATATAAAATAAAGAATAACCAAGTTATAAGTTTGTCCCTTTTATATTACTGCAGTAAAGATATATATATATATATATATATAAGCACTGAACTTTTTGTTATTTACCAGTTTCGTGGTAGGGAGAAAATTGTAAATATTTCTCATTGCCAAAGCTTTATCAAATTTGGTCTTACACATCATTACTTTAAAGGGAATGTTTCACTTCAAGTGTCTTAATATATTTAAAACCTATCTTACTAAAGGTAGGATTTATATTCTGAAAATAAAGAAAGAATCTAGCTTCTTTAGACATTAAACATTATTTAAAATCTATCTTACTAAAGGTAGGATTTATATTCTGAAAATAAAGAAAGAATCTAGTTTCTTTAGACATTAAACATTATTTAGATCAAGCTAATACTAATACTTGCCTCTTGTAATCTAAAAACAACAGGGATTTTCTTTTCTGTGGACGCAGCTATGAAGTTATCAGGAAGTAACTGTCCATCTAAAAGAAACTGGTCATCTTTTCCTTGATCAATTAGTATGTCCAGCTGAGAACCTTGATAGGACTTCACAAGAAAGGTAGCATCATAAGCCTGTAAAAGGTGAAGAAACACTGAAAAATCAAAGTACTCAGAAAGATATTCTTCAGAATATACTATCCCAGAACCAAACTGAAATTCAAAGTTATTTAAAACAGGTTAAATCATAAATCTGCTTTCGGATTGGCTTAAAATCCGACCTGCCAGGTTTTCATTTACAAGGTGTTCAGAATTCTATTTCCTAATAGTATCCTCTTCCCCACTTTCAAGCAGCCCTAGGCCAGTGCAAGATTCTGATATCTCGATATGCCCTTTTTTCTTCTAAACCTTTAATGGCAGAGTGGGAGGGAATCTATAAAGTCTGACTAGCTCTAAATTCTATGACTTTATAATTCTACATGGTCTTGATTCCAAATATAAATTAATGAAGACTGTAAAATCTGCTGCCACTTATTAATATAAAAAACATAAAAGGTGGGCTAAAAAAAAAATATAAAGGGCGGCACCTGTGGCTCAGAGGATTAGGGCACCGGCCCCATATGCTGGAGCTGGCGGCTTCAAACCCAGCCCCGGCCAAAAATCTGCAAAAAACCAAAAAACATATATATATATAAATAACTAGGTTACTTTCTAGGTTACCTGTGCCTTTATCTTTCTCTTAATACTCCTAGTTAGTAGGTCTTTTACCCAACTCTTCTATTAGACTGTCTGTCTGTGGACATGAAAGATCTTCCATTGTGACACAAGATCTCAGAACGTGGGATGGACCCTGCATATGATGAAGACTCAACAACAGATGATGTAGGTGCAAAGTCATTTCTCAAAGGACCTGGTCCTAATAATTACCAGCACTCTCCAATAAAATAAAATTCTAAGCCTAAACAATCAAAAACTAAAGACCTTTAAAAGCCTAAACAATCAAAAACTAAACCCTTTAATTTGTTAGAATTGTAATGATTATCCTTAAATAAACAGGGGTCCACGTAGAAATGACTCTGAACGAAGAACTATAATTTACTTTAAAACAAAGAAATTGGTTTTTTCCCCATGTAAGTATTCTCTGCGTGGTAAAATGCACACAACGATGAGTTTACTTGCAAAGTATTCCAACTCTTGTTGCAGTTTCCAAATGGCTTATTTCTGTACAAGAGTAAAATGGTTCTCAGGAGAAATCATCATTTTCATTTTCAAGCACCTGTTTCAATGTTTGAAAAAGCAATCTTGCTGTGGGAATATTCACATAAGTGTGCATTTCAGAATATCTATTTTTAAAGACTTTTAAGTCTGGAATTTAAAGTTCAAATCGGAGAGATACTGAATTTTGAAACACATACACAAAATAACTGCAAAGTCAGGCCTCTTGGTTCCTCTTATACAATTGAGTATACAGTTAAAAAGAGGCAAGCCTAAATTTAGTAAATACAGGTTGAGCATCCCTACTCTGAAAATCTGAAATCATAAATGCCCCCAAATCCAAAGTTTTGAGCAATGACATGATGCTCAAAGAAATACTCATTGGAACATTTTGGATGAAAGATATTCAAGCTATAATATGTAGTATTGTAAAATTATATTAATTTAGAAATAAAAATATAAGTTAATAATTAACTAAAAAGTAATGTAGCCTGGGCAGCACCTGTGGCTCCAAGGAATAGGGCGCCGGCCCCATATACTGGAGGTGGTGGGTTCAAACCCAGCCTCAGCCAAAAACTGCAGGAAAAAAAAAAATGTAGCTTCAGAATATCTGTCATGAGTCAATACAATTAGAAAGCAGGGTTTTTGTTTTTTATCGATATATACTTTTGCTAATTACTCTTAGCTCTAGAGTCCTAATTAGATGCAATGTCTGTGACGTGTACAGACTTTCAACAAACTGAAACACTTAAAAATAAGCATTAAGACAGCCATCCAAGACCTACCTTCCATTTACTTTGATCTGGTCCTAAATATCCACCAAAGGCCTTTTTGCCCCAAGGACAGAGCACTGGGTTGCAAATTGGAGCAAATGCTGATACAGACTTCAGAAACAAAGAAAATTTGAAAACAAGTTATGTTTTGCTAAATTAAATATGAATAGATATTTGCAACTTGCTTTAAAACTCTGACTTGTCATGAAAACCACTGTTATGCCATGAATTAGTTCAACTTTATAATAAAGCTTAGGACAAATAAAATATCTGGTGCTACAGCAAGAAACTGCTATGAGAAATATTTGAATTTCCAGTAGCACACCTCAAATGATTAAGAAGTCCTTTGTAAGCAAAGGAAATTAATGAAACAAATCTTAAGGTCATAAATAGCCATGTAACTTTAAAGACAGTAGTAATCTTAAAAATGACTGTCATTTTAACACTTCCTTTTTCAATTCTTGAAATACACTTCTCTGCACAGTATGACACTCTACCTATAGTGGTTATACAAACTTGACTCATTTTTTTAAAATAATTTTTAAATTTTTTTTATTTTGAGACAGAGTCTTACTCTGTCACCCTGGATACAGTCCCATGGCATCATAGCTCACAGCAGCCTCAAACTCTTGGGCTCAAGCAATTCTCTTGCCTCAGCCTCCACAGTAGCTGGGACTACAGGCACCTGTCACAACTACGAGCTAGTTTTTCTATTTTTAGTAGAGCTGGGGTCTCACTCTTGCTCTGACTGGTTTCCAACTCCTGAGCTCAAGCAATTCACCCACCTCAGCCTCCCAGAGTGCTAGAATTATAGGCCAGGGCCACCATGCCCA